ATGGTTTTTATTGAGCTGATGAAATTTGCTACCATGTCTGTAGAGTTTAGTTTCAACAATATCATGTACAGACAGATAGACGGGGGTAGCTATGGGCTCTCCTTTGGGTCCTGCTTTGGCTAACATTTTTGTCGGCTTTTTATGAGTCGTCCCTCCTCTCTAAAGATAATGCACCGTCTATGTATCAACGATATGTGGATGATACATTTTGTCTTTTTAACAGTGAAATGGAAGCCGATTCTTTTCCTTACAATTATGAATCAACTTCATCCGTCCTAAAATTCACTATTGAAAAGGAGTCCAACTCGTGTCTCTCTTTCCTTGATGTACTTGTACATCGGACCCCTTCTCAATTTGTGACATCAGTGTTTCGAAACCGACGTTTTCAGGACTCTATACGCGGTGGGACTCATTTTGTCCTAAGAAACGCAAAATAAATCTGATCAGGACCCTGACCCATAGGGCCTTGATGATTTGCAGTGATGAGTTTTTGGATGAAGAATTTAATTTTATCCGCCATATTCTTTTCGCGTAATGGATATATATATATATATATATATATATATATATATATATATATATATATATATATATATATATATGTGTGTGTGTGTAGTGTGTGTGTGACTTGTTTTTTTTCTGGACATTAAATGTATTTAATTGTTCGAATTTTCTGTATGTTCTGGAATTTCAGCTTTCTTTTTAACCATTATCAACGATGCTTTTTATTTTTATTTTTAAATAAACTATATATTTTTATATATCTATCTAGAGTTATAAGAATATTTTTGTTGTGTTTTTTTCATTCCTCTAACACGGTCAGCATATGTTGGCGTTGTTCCTTGTTGATGAGCCGGTTTTCTCTCAATAAGTCACTTGCCTTTAACTGCAGGCATCAAGTGAAACTCCTTAGCGATGGATCACAAGATTTCAATACTATTTATTATCTGTTTTAATTAATTAATTTAATTTATGCTTATCCAACCACTAGTCGTCTCTGGATCCCCCACGCTCCTATATAAAATGGTATAAATGAAAAGGGCCATTTCTTTTTGGTATTCGTTTTAATCAAAATGGCAGCTTGGATTCTAAGGGGCAGTAGGAATAATCACGTCACCGGAATGAATTTCGCACGTTGGCTAAGCGTTCCTCCGCAGGTGGTCTTAGTCGTTAACCTGGTTGTGGGTGGCATATCGATGCTTCAGTATTCTTGAGAACCTCTGTTAATTCGCGTTTTTAGAGTTATATTCAAAACCCAGACAAAGCCAACCGTCACTGTCAGAATCCGGACAATCGCTGACTATTCTGTCCTTGGTCTTCGAGTTTTGTAACACTATTTTAGTCTATGGATAGCCGTTACTCTTTCCAAATATCCCCACCTGCCCCTCTTGCATATTAATTTTATCGATCAGACAACAAACGCCTTCTGTAACACTCTACATGGAACAGATCTTGTGCTTTGTATGATGTGAGCATTAGTGAGAAAAATATTAACATATTCACCTATGTTTCTAATATAACGAGCCTTTTCTATAAATACTTTGACTTTTCTATAAATACTGTGCTTTTTTCTATAAATACTTTCATGATAGTTGTTCTGATGAACTTTTCTATGTAGATATGGAAACTAGTTAGGAGTTTATAGAGACTTTGTGGTATTATGGTGGCTGTTGTATGAATGGTAAGTAAGAAACCGTTACCTTGGTGTAAGGAATACTGTGGTATGTTTGGGTCAGTAATCGCAGCTAGCTAAATTTAAGATAAGACAGACTGAAAACCAGCCTTCCTCTATACCCCCTTTTTGGCCTTGTTCCACATTTTTGCCTTATTCCAAATAAATATGACTTTTGTTCCAACACTAATATATTTTTGCTAGCAGGAAGTGACACATGGTTGCAAGTGACAGTTTGAGTCACCTGGCCTTGTTCAGATAATGATCACGCCAGATTATGCATTATCTCCCTGAAAGAGTAACTATGTTCTGCTCAGTGTAGTTGCAAAATTCACTTCAAAAACGTTTTTATTTTGACAGAACAATATTTTAATGGTAAGACAGCGAAACTGCCAAAGGCTTATTTATTTCTACACTGATCAGAATAATTTAATTTTCTCCAGGATGCGTGTCTTGCGGGTGATTAGTTTTGTGCCGAATTATTTTTCTCGAGGCTGCATATTTAATCGCCAAAGCATCAAGTCTCATTTTGCTGATTTTTCTGTTTTCCGTTATATCAAATCTTCTTTATTCAGATCTTCTGCCGGTGTTTCTTGGGATAAAATATGCATCTATATTCGTCCTTGCTTAAAATATCGCTGGTACATATGTCCCTGGTATTTACCTTGGCCTCATTGATAAAAGGCAAAGCAGAATCAGCAATATTATCGGTCCTGATCTGGCGTCTCGGTGTCAGTCACTTTCCCACCACCGTAAAGTTGCCTCCCTGTGTCTTTTTCTAGAAATACTTTCATGATAGTTGTTCGGATGTATATAAGAACAAATTAGGATTACATAGAGATTCTGAGGTATTATGGTGGATGTCGTAAGAATGGTAAGTAAGAATGTGTTGTTTTGGTGTAGGAATACTGTGACATTTTTTTAGTCAGTAATTGTGGCTGGCTAAGTTTAAAATAAGAATGATTAATGACCAGCCTTCCTCTATCTCCCGTTTGCTGGCCTTCTGCCACATTTTTGTATTTTCAAAATAAATATTACTTTCATGAATGATATATAGACACTATGAATTTAAAATTAGTACTAGATTGGCGCCAGTCTCATCATTCTACAATTAAAATGGCTTGTTATAACCGTAAGTTCTAAGCTGACAGTTTCTTCTATCGCACTTCTCGCTTGTGGAAATTTCATACATAAAATAGGGAGTTACTTTATAATCAGCCTGCAGATAAAAAAAAATAGCAGTTTATTTTACGTCGTTTAAGTGAAAGAATTACATTTACTCACTGGCAAAACCGACTTTTAGGAAATAATTTTTAACATAATTTTTTGCCTTACAATTTTGTGATATTTGTTGGATTTCGCCTCTTGAGGCAATGTGATTAACATTCTGTGCCTCTTCTCTTGCTCTGCTTGTTTGGTTTGGTTTGGTTTACGGCTTAACAACATCAATGCGTTATTTAATTCCGACAAGATTTTTTAGGATAGGTTCGTATGAATAGAATATGTATTCTCTGTAAGAAATGAGTTTGTATGAGAACAGGTTTCATTGACGTATTTTTAAAACATGGTTTTCGCTAGGTTTGATTTGGTTCGGTTTATTTTGTCTTACGACATATCAACACCTCAATGGGTTATTTAATGCGGACAAGATTTTTAGGATAGGTTCGTATGAATAGAATATGTATTCTTTGTAAGAAATCAGTTTGTAGATCATGTTTCATTGACGTATTTTTGGTTTGGTTTATTTTGCTTTGCAGCATATCCTCCTCAATGGGTTATTTAATGAGGTCAAGATTTTTATTGTTGGCAATTTATTTTTTTTCCCAAAATTATATTGCTTGTAATATTTTCCCTTAAAAAATGAATTGCTGGTAATAATGTATTGCCGGTAATATTTTTTTATTTTTTTTTTAAATTGATTGCGAGTAATAATTCATTACAAAAATATATTGTTGGTATTAAAACCTATTTTTACACTTACATAGTGTTTGGGCATTAATTATTTGCCAATAGCTGGGACCCGAACAGGTGCTACCACTCGAGGTCTGTATGGGGACTGGAAACAACAACAGTTAAGATGTGGCTACATGATCCTCAAAACCTCCTGAGCAAAGGTCTTACTGTCGGATGTTGTTTATAGTCTTAACTAGGACGCGGATTACTTCAGAAATGGGCTGGTCAAACTCTCTGTCTCCGAGCTGATAGGATCCACAGACGAGAGACTATGTCGAAGGGGAGAGTCTCGTCTCGGGAGACAGATATCCGTTTTTTTTTTTTGCGGGGTCTACGGGAAATTTGGGGCCGAGCCTAAGGGATCGGATACCCCACAATAAATTAGGCCTTGTGCTACATCCGACCGTGTGGGGCGGTTAGTGAATATCTTACGCAGGATGCAGATGTAGTTTACGTCATACCCAAGAAGGCTTGCTCTGCATTCGTAAAACCAGTTTTCTTCAGATATGGTTTTAGTGTTCTATCAGTGTTTCTTGTTTAACATACTTTTAATTTACACAAAAAAAATGTTTTTTGTGACATTTCTTGAAAGGTACGTCTATTTATCTTTACAAAGTTTTCAATTTCTTTTATTATTTTACTGCACTCTGTTTGGTTTGGTTTGTTTTACGGTATATCAACCTCAATGGGTTATTTAATGCTAACAAAATTTTTATTGCAGGTAATATTTTTTTTTTCGAAAATGTATTTCTATAATTTTTTTTTTTAAAGTATAGCTGGGAATTTTTTTTCAAAAATGTATTGCTGGTAATAATTCTGGTATTAAAACCCATTTTTACACTTTCATAGTGTTTTGACCCCAGCTTGGGGGGTTAATTATTTACCCATAGCTGGGACCCTAACATGTGCTACCAGCCCGTGTCAGGATGGACCTGGGAACACCAGCACTTAAGAATTGCTTCCACGCTCCTCAAAATCTCCAGATCAGAGGCTTTGCTGCTGGATGTAGTTTATCGTCTCACCCAGGACGGCGGTGTAGTTTATTGTCATACCCAGAACGGATGCAATCTGTGTTTAAATCGTCCAAAGATAGGTTCAATAACATTAGAAATCATTGTTTCTGAATTGTGATGATAGCATTTTCATGAGTATCTATCTATCTATCTATCTATCTATCTATCTATCTATCTATCAGTATGTTCATATCTTTATATATCTGAAATTAAACATGTACATAATTAAATTAAAAAAAATAGATATAAATATCATATTGCAATTTACATTTATTTAGCTTATGATAAACGGCCATGTCATTGAATTATAAAATCTCAAATCACCAAATATTTTATTGTAAATAATGCTAAAAAAAGAATAATCAGATAATTTGAATTTCACATATGTCAATCGTGAAAATGAAAGGGTATCTTGAAAGGTTAACCAAGTCGCAGTTAATTATGTAAAAAACAGACAACATAGAGCATAGATGAATATATATATACATAGATAGATGTAAATAGGTTTTTATAGATAGATAGATAGATAGATAGATAGATAGATAGATAGATAGATAGATAGATAGATAGATCTGACCAGAATAAGATAGATATATAGACAGATAGATAACCAGGATGAGATAAATATGAACAGATAGAAAAATTGATCTCACCAGAACAAGATAGACAGATAGATATATATGAACATGCTGATAGATAGGTAGATAGATAGATAACAAGAATGAGATAAATATGAACAGATATATACATAGACCTAGCCAGAATGCGACAAATACGTAGATAAATATTAAGATAGATAGATAGATAGATAGATAGATAGATATGTGCAGAAGGAAATCAATATGAACAGACTTAAATAGATTGAGAGATAGATAACCAGAATGAGGTAAATTTGAACAGATATATACATAGATCTGACAACAATGCGATAGGTACATATATATATATATATATATATATATATAGAGAGAGAGAGAGAGAGAGAGAGATAGAATCAGAATGAGATCAATATCAACAATAATAGATAGATAGATATGAAACACATTAAGATAATAAAAAGATATTTCTTTTTAAATTCTCATTCGAAATTTACATTTTCTGAGATGTGGAGGCGGCCATATTGTTTCGTGATCAAAGTGTTTAGCAAAAGGTTCTGCATTTCATTACTTCATTGATAATCTTGTCAGAGAGGAGAAAACGCCATTTCTACTCAAATTTAAGTGGCTTTCAATGTTCAAAATATCATAAAACGGTCCACCGCATAAAAAAAAATAATCCAAAAATACTCGAGGACGCATGAATTCGGTTGACTTTCTGTCGGGTTGAAACGGCGAATCAAGTAAAAGGTTTCCTTCTGAATGTCAAAAATGGCGAGTTATAATTACAGGATGCGATGGGTAAATTGTCGCTAATTCATATTTTTTTAATTTCGTGCATGCGCGCTGTTTGTTTTTATGAATTTTGTAAAATCTGTTTTAATCAAGGCGGTACAGCTTAGTGAAATTTCACATACGGTTCTGTAAAATTTAATTGGCGTCATTTTGCACCTTATCTCGCAGACGGTGCTCAACTGACCCGATTATAAGTCGACAAAATCAAAACCAAATAAGGTGCATGCGCAAAATTTAAAATAAAGAGGAGACAATTTACCAATCGCACTCTGTAACGGAACAGACTAAGAAAGATAGATATCAATTGACTAAGAGACGTATATATATTCAGACTAAGATAGATAGATCGATAGATAGAGAGAGACAAATAGAGATCGGTAGATAAATATTGCACTGTCGACAAAAATAGATAGATAGATAGATAGAAAGAAAGAGAGAGAGAGAATGAGAGAGCTAAATAATGCACATTCGACAAAGATAGATAGATAGATAGATAGATAGATAGATAGAGAGAGAGAGAGAGAGAGAAACACACATGCACAGACAGACAGAGATCGGTAGATAAATATTGCACAGTTGACATAGATAGATAAATAGATAGATAGAAAGAGTCAGAGAGGGAGACAGATAAAGATCCGCTGATAAATAATGCACATTCGACAAAGATAGATAGATAGATAGATAGATAGATAGATATGAACAGACTGAGACAGTCAAAGAGATAGATAGATAGATAGAAGTTATAATTATAGGCTGCCATAGGGAAATTGTCGCTATTTTATATTTTTAATTCTGCGAATGCAAGTAGTTATAATACAGTCAGTTGGGCACCATCTGTAAGAAAATTTGGGAACAGCGTGCTGTACCGCTTGGCATTTGCACTGGAAGCTCAAATACGATCATTTCACAGTGTTTGGGTGTCAATCTCAGGACAGTGCATGCGGAAGGAGTTGGATGAGTTTAATGGTGATTACGAAGTTACGGCGTCTCGGAAAACTCATTCTGATCGTTCCGATACGAATATAACTTCCGAATTGGTGAGGACCGCCGACTCAACACAGAGGCCTACATCAAGAGCATTTGCGGATGAAGCCCTGGGTCGAGAGGATGGCTGCTAAAAGACCGTATGACTAGCAATAGGACCCATTACATCTGGTTCAGTTCGGGAGTGCTAGAAGTCTATATGCTTAGGGTAACAGGATCAAGGAGATTGTAACACATTCTTGACTCTCCTTGACCTAATGATAAGGTGTAGTGCAGCGTCTTGTTAGTATGTGATTGGTCTTTCTTTGCCCACCCCCATCATTATCGTAGACCTCACAGCCATCTCATTATGGATAGTGTTATGATCCGGTTCTTTGTACCACGGTGATAGTCCAAGGTAGAACACAGGTATGGAATAACACAGATATATTACAAACAGGAATATATACAGAGAAGGAGAAGTGTTAGTATGAACAATCAGGTTGAGTAGAGAGAACAATGTAGTCTCGACCAGTATCACTATTCCAATGTCAAAACTCGACTCTGTTTCGGACTGCCTCTGACTCGACTCTTGACTCGACTTGAATTACTGACTGACGATATTTAGTCACCATCCACGTGGGCATCATGTGGCACAAGGCCGGTTTAACGTCGGATCTCCGACCCCGTGGGCTCGGCCAAAAATATACCCATTGAACCCGTATAAACTGGTTCAGGTTCGGTTTATCTCCCCGAAAGAGAATCCGCCCTTCGGCGTAGCCTCCTTCGGGTTCCTCCCCACCCGAAGCAGAGTGTTCAACCGATCAGCCGGTCAAGATTTGAACTACTGACGATATTCAGTCACCCCCCCCCCACTCGCCACGAGGGCATCATGTGGTACAAGGCCGGTTTAACGTGGGATCTCCGAGCCCGTGGGCTCGGGCCCAAAATATGCCCAGTGAAACCCGTATAAACGGGCTAGGGCCGGTTTACCTCCCCGAACGGGTCTCCGCTCCTCGGCGTAGCCTCGTTCGGGTTCCTCTCCGCCCGAAGGCAAAGAGTTCAACCGAACAGTCGGTCAGAAAGTGAGCGACTGACGATATTCAGTCACCCCCCGCACGAGGGTGTCATGTGGCACAAGGCCTTTTTAACGTGGGCATTCCGAGTCATTAGGCTCGGCCAAAACATAGCCCATTTGAACCCGTATAAACGGGTTCTGGGCCGGTTTTACCTCCCCGAAGGAGACGCCGCCCTTCGGCGTAGCCTCCTTCGGGTTCCTCCCGTCCGTAGGAAGAGAGTTCAAACCGAGCAGTCGGTTCAAAAGTGAACGACTGACGATATTCAGTCACCCCCCTACGAGGGTGTCATATGGCACAAGGCCTTTTTAACGTGGGCATTCCCGAGCCATTAGGCTAGGCAAAAAAATAGCCCATTTGAACCCGAATAAACGGGTTCAGGGCCGGTTTTACCTCCCTGAAGGAGACTTCGCCCTTCGGCGTAGCCTCCTTCGGGTTCCTCCCGCCCGTAGGAAGAGAGTTGAACCGAACAGTCGCTGAGAAAGTGATCGACTGACGACATTCAGTCACCCCCCACGAGGGGTGTCATGTGGCACAAGGCCTTTTTAACGTGGGCATTCCTGGAGCCATTAGGCTCGGCCGTGGGTCGGGCCCATTGAACCCGTATAAACGGGTTCAGGGCCGGTTTTACCTCCCCGAAGGAGACTCCGCCCTTCGGCGTAGCCTCCTTCGGGTTCCTCCCGCCCGTAGGAAGAGAGTTCAAACCGAGCAGTCGGTTCAAAAGTGAACGACTGACAATATTCAGTCACCCCCCCACGAGGGTGTCATGTGGCACAAGGCCTTTTTAACGTGGGCATTCCCGAGCCATTAGGCTCGGCCAAAAAATAGCCCATTTGAACCCGTATAAACGGGTTCAGGGCCGGTTTTACCTCCCCGAAGGAGACGCTGACCTTCGGCGTAGCCTCCTTCGGGTTCCCCCCGCCCAGGGAAGAGAGTTCAAACCGAGCAGTCGGTTCAAAAGTGAACGACTGACAATATTCAGTCACCCCCACGAGGGTGTCATGTGGAACAAGGCCTTTTAACGTGGGCATTCCCGAGCCATTAGGCTCGGCCAAAAAAGCCCATTTGAACCCGTATCAACGGGTTCTGGGCCGGTTTTACTCCCCGAAGGAGACGACGCCCTTCGGCGTAGCCTCCTTCGGGTTCCCCAGCCCGTAGGAAGAGAGTTAAACCGAACAGTCGGTTCAAAAGTGAACGACTGACAATATTCAGTCACCCCCCACGAGGGTGTCATGTGGCACAAGGCCTTTTTAACGTGGGAATTCCTGAGCCATTAGGGCCCGGCCAAAAAAATAGCCCATTTGAACCCGCATCAACGGGTTCTGGGCTGAGCTTACCTCCCGAAGGAGACTCCGCCCTTCGGCGTAGCCTCCTTCGGGTTCCTCCCGCCCGTAGGAAGAGAGTTGAACCGAACAGTCGCTCAGAAAGTGAGCGTCTGACGATATTCAGTCACCCCCCACGAGGGTGTCATGTGGCACAAAGGCCTTTTTAACGTGGGCATTCCCGGAGCCATTAGGCCCGGCCAAAAATAGCCCATTTGAACCCGCATAAACGGGTTCAGGGCCGAGTTTACTTCCCCGAAGGAGACTCCGCCCTTCGGCGTAGCCTCCTTCGGGTTCCTCCCGCCCGTAGGAAGAGAGTTGAACCGAGCAGTCGGTCAGAAAGTGAACGTCTGACAATATTCAGTCACCCCCACGAGGGTGTCATGTGGCACAAGGCCTTTTTAACGTGGGCATTCCTGAGCCATTAGGCTCGGCCAAAAAATAGCCCATTTGAACCCGTATAAACGGGTTCAGGGCCGGTTTAACCTCCCCGAAGGAGACGCCGCCCTTCGGCGTAGCCTCCTTCGGGTTCCTCCGCCCGTAGGAAGAGAGTTCAAACCGAGCAGTCGGTTCAAAAGTGAACGACTGACAATATTCAGTCACCCCCACGAGGGTGTCATGTGGCACAAGGCCTTTTTAACGTGGGGGGCATTCCGGCCGAGCCATTTGAACCCGCATAAACGGGTTCTGGGCTTTATCCCCGAAGGAGACTCCGCCCTTCGGCGTAGCCTCCTTCGGGCCTCTCGCCCGTAGGAACCCGTTTAAACGTGCAGTCGGTTCAAAAGTGAACGGGACAATATTCAGTCACCCCCCACGAGGGTCCGCCCTTCGGCGTAAGGCCTTTTTAACGTAAATTTGGAGCCCGCCTCGGCCAAAAAATAGCCCATTTGAACCCGCATAAACGGGTTCAGGGCCGGTTAACCTCCCCGAAGGAGCGCCCTCGGCGTAGCCTTCGGGTTCCTCTCGCCCCAGGAAGAGAGTTCAACCGTCAGTCGGTTGTGAACGACTGACAATATTCAGTCACCCCCACGAGGGTGTCATGTGGCACAAGGCCTTTTAACGTGGGCATTCCCGAGCCATTAGGCCCGGCCAAAAATAGCCCATTTGAACCCGCATAAACGGGTTCTGGGCCGGTTTAACCTCCCGAAGGAGACTCCGCCCTTCGGCGTAGCCTCCTTCGGGTTCCTCTCGCCCGCAGGAAGAGAGTTCAACCGTGCAGTCGGTTCAAAGAGGTGAACGACTGACAATATTCAGTCACCCCCACGAGGGTGTCATGTGGCACAAGGCCTTTTTAACGTGGGAATTCCCGAGCCATTAGGCCCGGCCAAAAATAGCCCATTTGAACCCGCATAAACGGGTTCTGGGCTGAGCGAACCTCCCGAAGGAGACTCCGCCCTTCGGCGTAGCCTCCTTCGGGTTCCTCGCCCGCAGGAAGAGAGTTGAACCGTGCAGTCGGTTCAGAGGTGAACGACTGACAATATTCAGTCACCCCCACGAGGGTGTCATGTGGCACAAGGCCTTTTAACGTGGGCATTCCTGAGCCATTAGGCCCGGCCAAAAATAGCCCATTCGAACCCGCATAAACGGGTTCAGGGGCCGTTTAACCTCCCCGAAGGAGACTCCGCCCTTCGGCGTAGCCTCCTTCGGGTTCCTCTCGCCCGTAGGAAGAGAGTTGAACCAAACAGTCAGTTCAGAGGTGAACGACTGACAATATTCAGTCACCCCCCCACGAGGGTGTCATGTGGCACAAAGGCCTTTTTAACGTGGGCATTCCCGAGCCATTAGGCCCGGCCAAAAATAGCCCATTTGAACCCGCATAAACGGGTCCAGGGTGGAGTTTAACCTCCCCGAAGGAGACTCCGCCCTTCGGCGTAGCCTCCTTCGGGTTCCTCTCGCCCGTAGGAAGAGAGTTGAACCAAACAGTCAGTTCAGAGGTGAACGACTGAGAATATTCAGTCACCCCCCCACGAGGGTGTCATGCGGCACAAGGCCTTTTTAACGTGGGCATTCCCGAGCCATTAGGCCCGGCCAAAAAATAGCCCATTTGAACCCGCATAAACGGGTTCTGGGCCGAGTTTAACCTCCCGAAGGAGACTCCGCCCTTCGGCGTAGCCTCCTTCGGGTTCCTCTCCGCCCGTAGGAAGAGAGTTGAACCGTTGAACAGTCAGTTCAGAGGTGAACGACTGACAATATTCAGTCACCCCCCACGAGGGTGTCATGTGGCACAAGGCCTTTTTAACGTGGGCATTCCCGAGCCATTAGGCCCGGCCAAAAATAGCCCATTTGAACCCGCATAAACGGGTTCTGGGCCGGGTTTAACCTCCCTGAAGGAGACTCCGCCCTTCGGCGTAGCCTCCTTCGGGTTCCTCTCGCCCGTAGGAAGAGAGTTGAACCGTGCA